CTCTTTTCTAGTTCTTATTTTTAACAGGGAAAACGACTGAGCTTTGGAAAGTCAAAGGTCTGCAATTATTTCAGCAAATGGAAGAGGCACAGGAATAGGTAGCAGTGTCACTGTGCCTGAACAAATCGAAGCTCGCCTAAAAGCAAATCTTAATCTGTTCTCAGCTGGATCTTGTAGGAGCACTGACATTCTAACCAGCAGAGTCTTCACCAGGCAGGCAGAAGCGGCTGACTTCTGACAGCTGCCTCATGACTCCTGGAAGCTCATTCTTGTTAAAAATGCTGTGCGTTTCCTAATAGCTATTGAATCACTTCCCCTTCCATTTACTAAAATTGCAGAAGAAAGTGCCTCTAAACCCACAGGAGGAACTGAAAGCTTCCATGATTACAGGTCACCGCAATAGGTCATTCCCACACAGTCATCCTTTTTTTTTACCGTGCATGTCATCAGATTATTACTTTATTCATATCCCTCCCAGCACTGCTCCCCTCCGCTTCTGCCTGCAGCCTGAGAGGAAATACTTGTTTTCTCTCAGTGGAAACAGGAGCATATTTTGCAGGTGGATTCTATAATACGGACACTGTTCTAACGGACAAGCCCATTAAAGGAGTAACAGGATTTCAGAAAGTTTATGTTTTTATAACCAGAGATACAAGCATAAATCTGTGATCGTTTCATAGCAATCTATCCCTCTAAACATTCATACAAGTAGTTTTCAATCTGCAGAATCCTGGCGGTCCTTGAACTTCATCGGAGGTCCTCAGAAAGGAACGAAGAAAGGCAAGTTGGCAATGAATTGCAGCTGACATTTATGGTTCCACAGTTCTGCTGGAGAACTTACAGGGAACCAGAAAATTTATTTATACTAAACAGTGTACTGTTCTAGCTATTCCACTGCAAGATATCACTTCATAACAGCATGTTTTACATTCAGCTTTCTGTTACCAAAAGCACAGCCAAACTACTCTTAAATCCATTCCTTTCCCAATTACTTCAATGAAAAAGAATACATAAAATAAAAATACACTTATTTATCCAACAATGTGAAACATGAGGCAGAAGATCTTTTGCAATTTAAAAACAAAATGTTCCTCCCTGAAAAGAAATGCATTTTATTTTCTTCGTATGGCTGTTGTCTAGGCCTCTGCAGAGCAGGAATGCATCTGTGCTCCAATGTTGCCATGAAAGCATTTTTACTTGCACCATACATACCTTGACAGACAAGGTGTTAGCTACTATTCCATCCACTATACTTTCAGTAAACGGATCAAAGTGTTTGTCTGGTCTTCTCATGAATTCTGGCTTTAACCGGTATCCGCTTTTGCCATTGTACTCGTACATTCCCATGTTTATTTGCATAGACAAATCTAGGTGTTAAAAATACTGATGACAGTTACATTCTGGATAAATAACAAATTTTAAAAGCAATACAATAATACTATGTATTGTAATTTTGAATCAACTGTAATGTAAACAACTGTTCATGACATATTGCTGCTTTAGAGTCTTCAGATGGGATCACAGACACCCTCTTGGATTCTTTCCACAGGAAAAAGACATCTCTCAGAGACTATTCAGTAGATAACAAAGAAGCCTTGATACTTAGGTTCTGAGTCCCTCAGTGCTGGACTGATTGTACTGCTGTACCTGACCCAGCAGAGTACTTACATTTCTAACTGCTTCTAACATCAGACACTGGGTGCCCGATACTTGGTTGAAACTGCCCCAAAGAAGTTTTTATTATTCTGTGGACTCCCAGCCTCTGTGGGGTTTTGCTTTCCATGGAAAGGCAGTGTGTTCATGGGCACAACTGGAAGGGAAAAAGGGATTGGTAACACGGTACCATGTGCCCAGGAGCAGGATATGGCCAGGATGTGTCCCTGGATGCGGTAGCTGGAAATATTTGTATGTCTCAGAACAGACATAGCCTTGGAAGACAACACATCTTATTTGGAAAGTAACTTGTGCATCCAGGAGCCCAAATGTCCGTTTCTGAAATACTCACTTTTAAAGAAGAATTTGCTAAGTCCCTTATGTCTTGAGATTTTGAAAGACAGAGGAAAAAAGCCCCTGCTAGATCCCAAATGTTGCTCAATAGTAACCACTTATAAATGATGACAATCTGGAGGATTATGTATGTGTGTTATACTAGCTACAGTACAGTAATTATGAATATTCCCAGTTAAAAGAAAAATATACTGTGATAAAAATGTTAACTCACAGCTCTGTAGTATCATTCAACCATCAGACATGTTTTGATGCATAAAGCCTTTCCTACTTACCAATCAGAAACTGTATCAGAGAAGCAGAAAGGTACAGCTTACAAAATCCAGAGACCAGCATAACTTACCTACAGTTTGGAAGTTAAGAGCAACCATTTGGCAGCCAGCATTCCAAAAGACTTGTGGCATGTAGTTTGAAGAATCTACACGTGTCCCCTTTGGGTAAATTCGGCTTAGCTGCATTTTGTTGTATCTAATTGGTGAGAAGTTAAGATACAGTACGTGCAACAGAAATTGCTTTGCAGAGAGGGGCAACTGCAATATGTAAATTCAGGTCATCTTTGCAGAATGGCAATGGGTTTCTTATTGGATTTCTGCAACCATAATGCTTTCTGATATCCACAATTTTGTAGGAGATACGATAAATATGGGGTAATTCCCGTGCAGGGTATTCAGAATAAGCAAGGAAATAGCACAGGCATATGCAAAAAAAAGATAGCATTCATAAAACTCCACCTATCATTACAGTTACTAATTCGGGTTTCTCCTAAGATTGCATTTATAGAGGCCAAAACAGCGGATCTCCCTCTGCTGGGGGGTGGGGGGAGAGGTGCTCAGTTAAAAAGTAAGTGCTGTTCTGGAATGAACATTAGAATTGGCCTCTGCACAAACAGAAATGATGAGCATGCACTTCTTATAGTTGACTCTACAAATCTCAGAGATGAGAACATGCTGCAGGTTATCTGTGGAAATAGCTTCCCATTAATCTTCTTTAAGGCACTATTTTATCTTGGCCATTCATTCTTAACTGCAGCCATGATGGGAGATGTTGAGAAACATCAAAAGGTCTAAGCAGAATGCTCCTTAGCTTTTCTTTAGAAGTTAAAAAACAAAAAACCCCAAAACTAAAAATAAGGAAAAAATGGGGAAAAATAAAAAGGAGAGGAAAAAATTGCTTGGCAATAAAACAGCTCAGTGCTCTTAACATTACAGGTAGGATGGGAAAGCAAGCTTTTTCATGTGACTTTGCAAAACAACAAGTCAGTCGCATTTTGCCAATTTGCTCACCATAACTCATACCACCTCGTGTAGGATGAGAAATTCAACAATGAGAATCCAAAGTATCAGGTCTTCAATATGTAGTTTATGCCTATTCCCTTTAGTCCTAGCCCACAGCACAAGGACTCATGCCAACTTTTAAATTAGCTCATCAGAACTCAGGCCAATTAACTCATCTAAGAAGACAGTCAAATCTACAAATTTCATTTGGGTTCTCTATTTCCCCAGCTCCTGTCTAAGCCCTGTAACAGAGCTCTGATATAGAAGGGCTAAGAAAATAGCTTTCTGAAAGTCAAGGATACTCCACGAATTCCACGGGAGACTTTGTGAGTTGCTCAAGCCCTTTGGTTTCCACGAAGGAAGACATTTCAAAGCTTTTGTTGCGTTCTGAAAGTTGAAAGGGGAGAGAAAAACATTGACACATCAGAGTGTGAAATCACTTGCAATTGGTGAGCTGCAAACCACTGGTTTAGCCTCAGCCCCCTTATCCCAGCTCCCATTCCCCAGCTCATTTCACCTTGAGCTCGAAGAATTTACATCCACAGTCTTTTGCTGACAGCAGTAAGCTCATCCTGAAGGTACTCAAGAATTCGGTCGGAACTCCTAGCAGCACTGCTCAAATTAGGGGCGTAGGTACTCCCCGAGATTGCTGCTGTGCCAGCTGCAGGCAACAGGAAAGTCAGCGCATGGGCAGAGATTTCTCATGCTTGCTTGCAAAACACCATGCTGAGATATGTGAGGGGTAGAGCCCAAAGCTCACAGGTGAGACGCGGAGGCAATATTTGTGGGGAACACAGAGGGCCCTGCTGGATCTCTAGATTGTGCTTGCAGGCAGATGGCAAGGGCGTCGAGCCAATTTGAAGCTACAATAACTAATGTCCGTATCAGATGAAACTACGCAGTGTGCTAGCTGTGCCTACAGCAGGTCTCGTCGTATCCTGTATGTCAGGGTAAGGTCACGTCTGCCTCAAGCAGTCATGGAAACGTGGCTATCTAACCACGCCTGGAGGTCCACTCCCGTGTCCCAGCAGGTTTTCAGACCTAACCACGAACTACTATGGAGTTTCTATGATCTCTGATTTGGTCAAACTTTCTGACCTGAGAGTGGTGTAAAGCTCCTCCCTAAGCTTGTAACTCCGCAGGACTGAACATTGATTTGTGCATCATCCATTACGCACCTTTGCCTGATGTGTGCACAGCCTTTCAATGTACCCCTGGGACATGCTGCAGCACAGAGCCCGAGTCAAGACTCCGCTAGCTTCGGCATTTTTTCCTTTACACTTTTGCACAAAAGGTAAGGATTCCTGTAAACTAACAGCTTCTGTTTCATCCCGATCAGCCTAGACGGCCTAGAAGGGGCCGCAGCACTGTGAGGTCATATCCATTAGATATTTCAGCACTGCTTTCTTTAAAAATGAGGTAAACAGTGCCTGTGTTGAACTGTGACATCTCTAACCCCACTGCTTTATGGAAAGCAAACAATAAGGCAGAGAAGAGGCTTGCCCTCCTCCAGTTTCCGAAGTAGTTGTGCTGCAGTAATCCAGGGATGGCCAGGAGGCCAGCCTGGCCAGCTCCTTGAAGTCAAACTGCGAAGCCACAGGAGAGGGATAAAACTGAACAAAACCACTTGTCTTGCAGAAGGAAGCAGGACAGAAACAGGTGGGCACTTTCCTTACAGGAAGCCAAAAAGGAAGCAGTGGATCCAAAGAAGTGAGGAGCTAGATTGTTTGGGCCAACGTGAGAGCAAAATGTGCTGCCAGCCTGTGAACTGCAAACTATTATCGGTGTCTCTTGAAAAGTCAGAGGACGACTGTGGTGTTCCACAAGCAATTCTCTCCCTCTAGGAGAGCTGGGACTCAGATTTCATTGTGGTCACTATTTCTAATTAGCAGCCATCATCCTACTGCCATTATTCATAGCTGTTATCTCCTAATGGCAAACGATTCCTGCCATTCCCTAGAGGCTGCTCTCTTACCACTCCTCTTCCTTTCCAACAAGCGATATCCTCTCTTTCTCCAGACTCTGATCCAGCCAGCTCACCTCCATCTCACCTCCTTATAAAGGCACTGAGATTATTCTTACTGCATCCTTCCCTCTTACTAATAGGATAGCACTAGCAACACACACATATATAGTGGTTTTATTCTATTTAGAATATAGGTGTGAGAATAGGCCGTAGTAACATACTGTATCTCTCATCCTTATCATAAAGTAGAGCATCGGTAGAAAACCTGAACTGGTAGCTGTTAAATGACTCACTTACTAAATGTCCAGGGCTTAACCAAACTCCCAATTAAAATAAGAACAATTATTTCCTTGTAGTATCTGGAGAGGATTAAGAAACGTGCTGTTTGAAGAAAAGACTGCAGGAGAGAGATTTCTCTCATGTAGTATGTTACACCATGCTATCTTATTAGGAGGAAGTCACCATGGAGTGGACAAACAACTCGTTGAAAACCTGTCTGAAAAACTGGAAAAAATAGAGTTACAGCTCCTATCTGTCAGAAAGTGGGAACATATCTAGTGAGGCCACTCAGGGGACTGATGCAGATCCAGTGCTATTCAATATTTCAAGTTGGATGTAAGACCAGAAAATGCACTTATAAACGGTGTGAATGACGGAAGCAGTGAGGTACTGTTATCACCAAGGAGGCCAGGATCACAAACCAAAAGAAATTCTGAATTAAAAAATATCAAATTGGAAAAATGCTGTTAACACTGAAATGATGACGTGGTACAAAAGACAAGTATGGAGCTCTACACTTAGGGACATGAAGTCAGGTGAAAAAATACAGAATCTGGGCAACAACTGAATAGGCAGCAAATTAAAAAAGCAATCCTCCTCTAACTCCTCCTTCATTCAGCTTATCTTTGCTGAATTTAATGAAGGTCCAGCAGTGAGTCCAGGCCAAGATGAAGAGCAGATCTCACCAGCCATGCTACGGTGCCCACTGCTTTAACCGGCTGGCGACATTTACCACGTAGGGCCCGTGCTTCAATGAGCTGATCCTGTTTACCACATAATGATTTTTTGGACACAAACACCAGAAATATTAATTCTTTAACATGAGGAGTTCATAGAAACAGTATGATTGATCATACCAAGACTTAGGATAAAAAATCTGGACATCAGCAGTTCTTTACCAAAGACAAAACTCGGAAGGGCACAGGCATGTAAACAGAAAAAATCTACACAAGGCCATTTTATAACAGCTGCATCAACTTGTCCTGCTAGGATTCACATGGCTTCCTTTCCAGAAGGAGCATCTTCTTCCCACTGTGTTCTTGTAATTCTCATTAGAGCTAGAGGAGATTATAAACATCCAAAGGGACTCTACTGTTGGGAAGGAGCACAGCGCTCTGCATGATTCTGTGTGTACGTCTGTATAAATACCCGCACACAAAAGAACAGGTAGATAACTTCTTACATGTTTATTATTCACAATGAGTAAACGCAAAATCTTGTATACAGATAGGGACTTAGGCACCAATTTCCTGTCCTCCGCCAAGGCCTCCACAAATCCATTATAAATTAAAATGCTATAAACCAACTATAAAGCTCAGAGAGCATATTGCAACCTGTCAAAACAAAGTGAAAAAGGGCAGGCAAACAGTAGGGAGTCCCGCACCAAGAAAGGAAAAGATGCTGCCGAGTTTATTGAGGATGCCACTGAGTGCATTCCTAGCAAGGCATCTTCTGTAAAAGCCAGCGGTAATGAAATGATGGCTTTTTTATACAATACACAGAGGCAGTGAATTTGCATATGAGGAAGGGCAGACTTTGTTTACACTGAATCCTCTATAAAAGTAGCAGAGGCAAACTATAAAGCACTTGTTCAATCCGAAAGAATATTTATGACCACCTTTCTCAAACTGCTTATATTACTCTCCAGCCACGAACAACAAAGACAATGCAAGTACAACATTTTCAAAAACGTTTTTGAAATGGCAGCATGTTTACTGTTGATGGAGTTTGATATTTAGACTAATGCAGGTTTCAAAATAAATATGGATCTATTTGGCTGGATACCAAGGGAACTTTTCTGTCCCTGTGTCCTCTAACTCAGAGGACGCCAAGCAGCATTTCTCTAGAACTTGCTTCCAAACACTTGCTAGGTAATTTCCAGTATAAGGTGTTGCTCACGCTTCACTTACTTACTTTTTGATACTTCAAATGACTCAAACTTCACAGGCTGAATGTAGTTCACCAGGTTAGACATCTCTTCCGTGGCCATGGCCTCACTTCCAGCAGTACCCTAGGACAGAAAAGGGAAAATGCTGTCATTCTGACCTGTCCACGGTGGCCATCAGAGGCTGCAAATACCAAAGCCCAGTTTTCTATCAAGCATGACATCTTTCACTGATCCTGGCTTAGTGGCGTCAGTGCCTCACATAGGGAGCTTTGCATAGTAAAGAAGAAAATTTGCTATAAAAATTGAATGTTTAATTAAACTGGATTTTTTATGCCACTCCTAGGAAAGGGACTGCATTACCTTTACATTTATCAGTACCACTGGACAAATGAAAAATACAGCTCTAAGTTTTTAATGTCAAGTTTTTTGTCCCAATAATGCTAAATACACCACAAGCAGTAGCCTAAAGAAGATCAGATGTGGTGTTATTGATTCTTATTCTTCAGTAAATGAAAGTATAAATAAACAAAGCAAGGATGTGCTTCCAAACAGATTAATAACCAACTTCAGAAAGCTGGTGGCCTTTCCCAGTGCTCTTCCTCCCTTTCTCCACTAGATGGTAGTCCCACTCCTAGTAACACAAACCAACCCACAGCTGCTGGAACCCACCCACCACCATAAAACGTATCTGCACCCTTACTTCATCCATCGACGACTTTTTACAGTCATCATCATAGTCATCGTCATCATCGCTCTCAATGTCAGCTTCTCCTGAAAAGTTTTAAGCAGAAGATAATTACTGGCTGAAGCAGTAGGTACAAATACCAGCGGTAAATTCTAGCAAGTAACACTGCTTCAAGGAGACTATATTGTACATGTGCTTTTTGTCACAGCACAAATCAAATACACTCTCTCGAGGGATTCATCCATCCTCAGCATTGATAAGCTCTTATTTTCCAAACAAAGAAAAGTTCTTCTTTTGCAGCTGCTGGATGCTCGGTGTTCGGAAACCATGGGGTCAGTATCAGCACGGAGAAAAGAGCATTGTGGGTGTGCATCACGTGCAGCGTGTGTGCACAGGGTAGTATCAGAAACTCCTCTGAAGAGAGGTTCCCATGCTTGTGGGGAGGAGCCCTGCACGACCTGCAGTGAGTGCCTTTGCCCTCCCTGGGACGGGCACACGCAGCAGCACGTATGGGGTGAAGAAACCGTGTATGAAAATGGGTGAGACTCTCATGTGCTGCGGTAGCAAGGACTGTTCAGCAAAATCCATCCATTCGGAAGGTATCACAGTCCATGCAGCTGGCAGGAACAGGCACAGGAGCCCAGGTACAAGAGCCTGACCTCAGTTCCAGTGAGGTGTGCCTTACTGCTTGGGCTCCGGCGGCACAGCACAAATACACCGGCTGAGGGCAGTGCAAATCAAATAATGTGAAGAGATGCGGGAGGCTCATCCTTTCCCTGAAAATGTAGTGATGGAGTAACTGGGACCAAATAAAGCACATTTTACGCCTTGCTCCCAACTGCGGTGTACTCATCACATTCCTAAGGGCAAGGCATAGATTCTTTGTTGTTAATTAATGAATGCCTCCCCTTGCCTCCAAAATATTTTGATTTGCTTGCACCAGAAATTAAACCATGAAGTAATATCAAACTCATCTTTCTCTTTTTTAACTCCTCCTGTGAGTTTGGCTGCCATAAAGTTTACACCGTGCATCTTCAGAAGACTCTGGAAAAGAAGGTTGAACTTACACTGCAGTCACCTATCCGTACCCTAAGGTAGACAACTCTCCCTAAAGATTTTCTTCCACAAACCTTTCAGCTTTCTTCGGCAGTGGCAATTGTATTTCAGCAGCACAAACGTCTAACCACTGTGCAGCATTCCCAAACTCTCCAGAGAATGGTAATTCAGTCTGAGTTCCTCCTGCCAATTTAGGGCCTAATCCAAAGCCCACTGAGTCAATAAAGAAACTCCTCTTTGTTCCAGGAGGCCTTGAATCATGCCCAGTGGGTCCCTTCTGAACAGGGAGAGCACATATGATTTAAATAATGAGTGTGCCTTTCACAACCAAATGATGACTACCCAGGCTTCATTTCCTTCCAGATGCAGATGTTGAAATGTCAGGCTTTTATTCATGAACCCATTTCTTCCTGAACATTTCATTGAAGAAAATAACATCATTGCTCAACAGGCTCAAGGGGTGGCTCAGGGAACCTCAACACACTGCGAAGAGCCAGCCGAGATCTCACAGGATTTGCAGTGACAATCTTTGGATGGGAAGCTCTCGATTGATTTAACCAGACTGGCAAAATAACACTTCACACAGTCCAAAAAACGGGCGACATGGGCAGACTTAGGCCAACCTGCACTGCTGAGATATGAGGTAGATGACAGGCAGCTTGGTCGTACTAGAAGTGTCCAGGGAGGAAAGTACGCAGCACATTATTCATTTATTTAAAAATATTTAACAGAAAAGCTCCCAAGGAGATCAGATCTCATTTTCAAGTTCTGCATCAGACAGCAAAACCAGGACAAATAATACGTAGGACTCTAAACACAGAATAAAAGCTAGTGTTTTAGAAAGTATGATGACACGTGCATTGCCTTTCACCCAGCAGCAAGGTCCTATGCTAAAACCCAACCTTCTTGTCCTGTTGCACTGCTGGGACCCAACGTCAGAGCAAGCCTTGGCCACACTGAGATGTCTGGGCTTCCACCTCCTTCCTGCCCACCCACCCACAGTGGTAGTGGGATCAGCCCCACGCAGTCATTCCGCCCCCTCCACAGGAGGGCACCAACACTGCACCATAAATGCACATGGGCTGGCATAGGTAGCTGGGCTGGGGTCAAGCCCAGTATGTCTGTGAGCTTGTCTAAGAGACAACTAGATGTAATGGTGTAACTGTTATTTGCATTTAGATGGGACTGCAAACGCGGGTCAGAACAGGACCTCTCTGTACTATGTGCCACACAACTATAGTGAAAATAGAGCACCCTGCTCCAAGGGTTTGCCCTCCAAGTACGAAACAAGAGCCTGCTCGTGGACAGAAGCAGACAGAAGAGTATCAAGAAATAAAAAGATGTTGCTCCCTACCCCAATAGTTCAGTTATAATGCAGATACTGTCAACTGCTTATAGGCAGAACTGCACTGGGAACTTCTCAATGGAGCAACAGGGCAGTTTCAAGGATGCTTCCAAGGAGCTGCCCCTAGTGAGTGGGGCAGCGTGGGGAAGGCATTGAAGTGCTCACTGGGCAATGTGAAGAGTGGACAAAGGAGGCTGAATCCCAACTGATGGGTAGAGGATTCAACACAGTAATACTGAACGGAAGATGATTAGGAGAGGAGAGCTGGGAATGACAAGCCAAATCCCTATTACCAAGGCTTGAGGAAGCAGAGTGCTAAATATTATCCATTCTCACCATGCCTCAGCAGCCTGACAGATATTGAGAGCCTACATTGCTTGAAATTCAGAGGAATTTGGTAATCTGCTTTCTCAGACTCTTTTAAAATAACAGCAGAGTGGATTACAAACACGTTACTTGGTGGTGCAGCTTGTTAGCTCTATAACATTGAGGCAGCCACCAGCATCTTGCGTGGGGGAAACACCTTTTGTTTTTTCCACAGGCTGTACATCAGCACTTGCTGATTTTAAAAAAAATGAACTTTATTCAGTTTGCTAAAAGATTTTACTTTGTAACAGTGGGCCATGGCCCCAGCTGGCATGTAGCAGCAATGTACTTTTACATACATTGAACCTAAATGTACACATTGAGCATTTACATACATTGATCTTAAAACATTTTATCCACTTCTCTGTTTAGTTGTCATGAAATGATGGAGTCAATTCTACCCTCTCTCTGACTTCCTATGTCTCTTTCCTTGCAGTACCCACTACTCTGACAAAAACGTCATCCTATCAGTGAGAAATAAACATTTGCTTGAAAATTTAAATACTGTTCAATGAGCAAGTTTTGGCTACTTGCAGTATAGACCTACTTTTGGTAACATATATGTACCTTAGAACTGCCACAGTTCTTTTTGCAGTGTAATCTAATGTCTTTGAACATTCATTGTGATAAAACAGCCAGGTCTGAGCTGCTTGTTTACCAAAATGACAGCCTATCTCAGAAGTATTAACCCAGAAATTCTTTTTCTGCTTTGCTGTACCTTCAGGGAAAGGTTCTTCCACTGACAGGTATTATACCTTACTGAAGTTATTTTTCCCATCAGTTTCAGGAACATCTTGCAAGCCATTCTGCAAAGCTTGTTTCAGAATTGTTTTTTTAATTATTGCTACTATATCACCAGCACCTAGCTTTTATATGGTATGTTTTATAAACATACCGAGTGGTTTATTTGGGTTTGATTCTGACCTCAAGCAGTGGAAGACACAAAGCAGCTTGCTATCAACTGAAATATGAGTCTCCACATTTTTTGCACTGCTGTGAAAAAACTCATTAAAAAATCTCAAGAAGGCTAAATCAGCACAACTTTCTCCTGGAGATCAGCAGTAATTTTGACAGGAGCTATACAATACAACAGAGTTATCTGAATAATATGCCCAACTTGCTAAATGTAAAGATTATATTAAGGTTGGAGTATTGAAACTCTTCATGTTAAGTGATGTCAAAAATTAGGCTTCCCTTAGTAAGTCTTGAATTGCATTATTCTTCTCATGCTCCAGAAAGAAATTAGTACTGGGTACAGAGAAGCAGAGTGCTTGCAGTGTGCCAGCATTTACATACTGTGAACATTGAGATGCATGTAAGGAACGAGGCAGGGAAAAGAAGGGTGTCATGGTGACTGTTGAGCACTGCCCCATCGAACCATGCCCTTCACTGGGTATTGCCTCAGCAGCTTTATAAAATGGTGAATAATTAGGGTTTTTTTTAAATGTTCACAGGCAGAAATCTGGTATCTGATTCACAGAGAGGTTGCATGCTCATAACTGTAATCTCTGGAGCTGTGCTTTGAATATGTAAAAATCCAAAGAATTCTTGAAAAATCAGATCTTGGATGTTCCTTGTCAGCCACCCCCAAAGTGTTCTTAAGCTCTCTCAGACTCAGCTGTCCTTAGATATAACTGGCTTAATATTATTATTTCACTTCCCAGAGGTATTGTTCAGATAAATTCAGTGCTGTTTGTCAAGTGCTCATATGCAGCCTGGATACCCCCACAGAAATTCACTGCAAGATGAGGTTGCTACATCTAGGATCAACTGTTGAATGGCAGAGAAAAAATACTGTCTAACTGCATTCTCCAAGAGGCATAGGTCCTAAAGGACAAACAGTGGCTGACAGAAGGGTTACAAGTAAAATACTTCGGCAGTCACAAATGAACTGAGTGATGACATAAATTTTGCAATCTCAGTTCTAGCATTTCCTAATTTGTAAGTGTTCATCTTCACAATGTACAGTTTACAGAGGTTGTTATATAGGCAATACTGACATTCACAGTTAATTTGTAAAACTACACACCCTATTATGGGACTAACCCTCCTGCCTTCCATCATCATCAACATCTAGATTCACAGCCCAGGTCTTTTCCTATCAAAGCTCATAGAAAGGTTGTTGAAAGACAAAGCTGTTACCCTCTATGCAGATCAGACACTCAGAAAGCAAAAGACAGATACTTTGCCACTGGGTTCTCACAATGTGCTAGACTTTGGAACCCAGGGTTGATTTCAAGGGTTGGAAACGAGTCAGTTGGCATACACACACTTACTTTTTTCTGTTTGCCTGAAGGAAATCAAGAAAACAGTATTAAATCATTCCTGACACCAGGACGAATCTTCCTTTGAAATCCAAGCCTTACTACATAGCACTGCTCTTTTTAAAGTTTCTTCACAGTTGAAAACTCTCTTCTTCTAATAGGATTATGCACAAATACAGCAGGATTTTTTTTTTAATTCAGCTTGAGGCAAACTTGCCAGCATGAAAATTTTCAGCTCAATTAATCAGACTTTAGAAAAAATTACAAACAATGGAAAAAGGTTTTCTAATGGCAGATGGTAATAAACTTATATTCCAGTAGAGCTTTCCATTTGCTTCATAAGTATTCTACTACCAGGGCATAAATGCCTACGCTTTTAGCAATCCAAAATTTCAGCCTTAATAGGGAGAAGAAATTCTAGTGCAGGGAACAGACACTGGGCTGGGAATGAGGTTACACAGATTTTGTTGTTTATCCTGCTGCTAATCTGCTCCTATGGTTTAGAGCAAATCCTTACTTTCTTTTTTTCTCTGCACTTCTCTTTGTCTTTTCTAGCTAGGTTTTAAGCTCTGCAAGCCAAAGACCATCTCTTACTAACTTTTGTGCACCAGTACACACAAGGGTTCCCTGCAGATCCCATATATACATTAAATTATAGTATATTTTCTATTTAATTTTTGATTTTAAAAATTCTGCTAATAATGAACAAGTGAAATGCAACACGCTGCTTTCCATTGGCTATATTCCCTACAATTCCTGATGGCAACAAGAATTTGTTTGCAGTATTACCTTTGCCGGTTTTCAGCTCTGGAAAATAACATCTTAGAGCACTTTGCACGGATGTGACCTGTTCCCAACTAATGCAGGACACCAGCGGGTTGAGCCCTGCCTGCCCGAGGAGCAGATATTGCATTTGAGGAACCCAAATCGCATTTGTGGTTACCCTAAATCTTGAGACACTGCAGAACTGCTGCTCTCCCGTGCAATGGGTTGAGGCTGGAAGGGCACCAAATGGTAGGCACACCTCAGAGGCAACAGAAGAAAGAAAACCTTTGTATTTGGTATTGGGCTTGGGCACATAGGAAAGGGGGAGTTGGCAGCTCACTCTCCTTCCTAAGGAATGCAGATAAATGTCAGTATGCATCGCCGAGCTTCTGGTCACTCTGTAAGGGATTCCTCAGCCATGAGGCTTCTCAGACTCCTGGATCAACGACAGTCAGCGCTGTTTCCTGCTAAGTAAGATCCACACTGGTGTACCTCTACCTTGCTAAAGCAATGTAAATGGATTGAATTATAGCTGTAATCAGGCATTTGTGTTTTAGGGAGACATACATTTGTAGATTCAATTCATACCTGCTCCGGGGGAGGAAGGTTCAAACATACTAGATGTGTCACTGCATGTGTTGGAAGCTTGTTCCGAGAGCTTCTTTTTTGCACTTCCATCTGCTGACTTATGCGACTTCTTTTTATTCTTCACCAGAATTTTGTACATTAAATCCATAGGGCTTGGAAGAGGAACCCCAGGTTCAAGCTTGCAGGAAAAGGAAAAGAAAGTTGTTACCACAACAAAAGAAATGAGCTTATGGCAATTTCTTAGGGCCCATATGGTGCAAGACAATTTTCTAACCTCTACAAGCCCTGTTGAAATGGAATGTGTTTTACACAAGAGGTAACCTCAACATGACATGGAACAGGGGTATTGAGGGCGCTTAAGAGGAAAAGAAAAATGCCTTATGAAATGTCCACAGTAATAACCAAAATAATTATTAATTCAAATATGGGTTAGGGTATACATTATAAACTGGCAGCTATGAGAATGAACTGCATTTAGATTACAGTTCACCGTGTCAGAACAATCTCTGCATCAGAAATTATATGCTTAAGTCACCAACAGCTCACGTTGTTTAACTCCCTCCTTTAGACTCTGTTTGGAGCGGCTGTACCTGAAGAATGACACAGGACTGAAACACTCAAACAAAAGTTCACATGGGTATTTGTGGTCTGATAAATACCAAACTGTATTACCGGGTATTTTTCCAATGGATCCATAAGTAATGCATCTCCAAATATCAATCTGCAGTACTCTGCCATTTTTGCCTGTTGTTTAGGTCTAAAGGGGAGAAAAGAAAGAAAGAAATGAGTCCTACTAATGCTACAGAGTGAAAGCAGCAGTAATGGAATACCTAATATCTCTGAACGAGATATAATTTCCTGATCCAATTGCTGTGAATTTTTCACAGACCTAGATATATCATGCAATTATCCCGATTCCTCTGGCAGAGCCTATCAAAAGTATTATACATGAATTAAAGGCACTAGTCAATTGAGTAACAGTGAAACTGAAGTTTTAACTTTGAGGTATATTTTCCCATGCACTTAGTAGAAAATGAGGCTGTCAGTTGTTACCTTTAAGGAAATAACCATTACACGAATTCGCCTCTTTCAGGCAACATCTTTATTCAAAGTTTAAATAGTTTCCTCCTGATGTTACTTCATACACGTGCCAGGCCTTCTTCTCACCCCTGAACCACAGCCCCACCTGGATTTCGTTCCCTTTTGGTCATACCTAACCTAAGGCACAAACCCCAGAACAATCACCCAGAAAGCAGTCTCCTGTGCAGGCATCTCCGTGAAACTCCCCAGGCCACGGGTACCTCCGACCTCACTCGCTGTGTCTGTAGGGCACAGCCGTACAGAAGAAGGGGCTGAAGACAATACTTGGGTCTCAAAACCAGCAAAGCTGCTTCAGTTAGAGGCACTTTTAGAGACGCAGGTGGTCTTACTGCAGATTTCTAAAATGCAGTTCATTTTACTGCAGAGATTCTGCTAAAATGCAGCCCGCTTTCCCATCCTATTTGTGCTAGCCCATGGGAAGGCTAACTCCCACGACAAAGCCCTGACCTCCTGGGCTGGGTTTGCACCAAAAGCTTGCACTGGTCTCGCCAGCTCACTCAGAATCATAGAATCATAGAATCATAGAATGGTTTGGGTTGGAAGGTCATCTAGTTCCAACCCCCTGCCATGGGCAGGGACACCTTCCACTAGACCAGGTTGCTCAAAGCCTCATCCAGCCTGGCCTTGAAGACATCCAGGGATGGGGCATCCACAGCTTCTCTGGGCAACCTGTTCCCGTGCCTCACCACCCTCTCTGGGAAGAATTTCTTCCTGATATCTAATCTAACCCTCCCTGTTTTCAATTTATACCCATTGCCCCTTGTCCTGTCACTACAGGCTCTTGTAAAAAGTCCTCTCCCAGCTTCCTTGTAGCCCCCTGCAGATACTGGAAAGCTGCAATGAGGTCTCCTCACTGGCAGAAGTCACAGTGCTATTGCTAAGAGGTATTACGATAATTTGGAGAATTGCCATAATAAGTGCTTTATTAAAAACTGCACTTTACACACGTCATCACATACTACATGCATGCTTTGTGTACAGAACTGGGACCAACAAATCAGGACAGCCTTCTTTGTGAGGATCTGGATGTAATAACAAGCTGCCAGGTGGAGCTGCTCAACGATCATTTTAGCTTGTTTGGACACGCGGTCAGTTTCCCTTTTAAAAAAACGTAAGATTTTATTTAAAATCAGATAAGAGTGTCACATTTTACCATAGCAAATTACTTCAGTGTTTTTCCTGACATCATGTAGAAGTAAACTGAACCTCAGTAAACTCTACTTATAAGTATTTTTCCCAAAGTGCAATCAAAGAATGAAGTAATTCGTGCATATCAATGATGGGAGTTTTAGGACTGATGATAGGTCAGAAATATTGCTCAAATCATCTTAAAATGAAGCTCAGTGCTACAGTCACTCTCTTTCTAATTTTAAACGACTGTGTATTTTTTTTATATGTGCCTGTTTAAAATCTGTAACATTTGAGCTTATGTATCTGTGAAAGTTTCCATTTCTGATACTCTGTGGAGACGTCTCGATTAAAGGACTGGTTTATATTGCTTACTATAACTTCCTCAACTACTGTTAATTATGATCTGCATATAGTGGAAAATACACTAAAGCTATAAGCAGTTATGTTACCATGGAGCTATTTTTTCATGAAAAAACAGAGCTGGCTACACAGGAAAAAAGGAGCCCTCATTCTTCTCTTGCAAGCTAAGAGTACGACGACTGCTGCGTCTAGTTTGCCGTTAGCTACCAAGGGAGCACCTGGCACTCCAGCTCCTCCTGGGGTCAGCAAGGCCAAACCTGAGCTGAGCTAAAGGCTGGGTGGCATTTGTATGAGAAAACATAATTTCCCGGAGATCAGCATTCCGGATGTCCCTTGAAGCAGATACGGAGTGAACCAGTCACTAGTTCAGTCACTGACAGAACATAACGTGAGGAGGCTCGAAATCGTCCCGCCAAGGTATGAGCTTCAATCACAGCAGCATTCCATTCACGCTTTCTCGTGCGTGCAGGCAGTTCTGCAAAAAAGCTGAAAGCCACTTTCAGCTGAGGGTGGAAAATTAAGATGAAGACAAGCAAGGCATTGGAACTAAGAACCCTCTTGGGAGAAGGTGATGGGAATAGATCCGGCTATGACAGTGCGTCAGCTATTTCTAACCTCACGCTCTCAAGCAGACTGGGTATTTGCTATAGGTCTAGGGGTTGTTGCAGTGCATTTTTTCTCAGTTTTCTCCACCAGTGTATATTTTGAACAGGTCCATGCTCTTACGACCCAGAAAGTTCACAGGACAACTCCTCGAATGAAAAGAGCAGGATTATTGAAACTGTAGTAATTAGGTGTGACATCAGCGTTTTAAGATGGGCACATCAGCTCCAAAAAAAACCTCTCGGTAGAAATCCAAAAAATATATCCAAGAGTCAAATCTAATAAATTTTACCACAGCTACAAAAAGAATTTGGATCTTCCGTGTTTAATTACATGTTTACCTCAAAGAGAACGCAGTGAGAACTTTCATTTTTGCAAAAAAGAAAAATGTAACGTGTTATTTTAGTTTAGCATATAAATTCCAATGTCACTGCATCCCAGAGGCAGAAAGAAGGAAAAGGAAAATTATGTGAAAAAGTAACAGGTTTTAATACTATAAAAAGGTCTTGCAGCAGTAGACGAGGCCGAAATAGGAATATCTTGACATTATAGGATTGCTTGTCTTTGTGAACTGGAACTGTATACACAGATATTTTTAAAGCTCTGAGGAGGGAATAAAAAAAAAAATTTGGAGTACTAGAATTGAACCGAGTGGCAATTTTTGTGTTCTCACTCTATGCATATAAAAAAAATATATTGTTTCAAGACATAGGTCATTAGTAATAGTATAGATTGTGTGTTGCTATTGTATGATGCTAAAAGTTGGAATATCAGTTTCTTTTTACTTTCCTTTCTTTCAAAATTATGAACCAGAGGAGCAGATTGAAATACCAACTTTTCTACAGCAACGTATTTCCCCATTTGTGTTATGAAATGAAAAAGCAGGTATTTCCTGATCCAGCTCTACTCTTACTGGAAATTCTCTCAGCATTCATGTACTGCAATGAAAATCGATTGCCTCAAAAGACATGACTTGATCTGCTTTATGATTTTCACTGTGCAGACATGGACGGGTAGCGCACAGACTAATTACATACGCGTCCAAAATGGGCCAGGGCAAGGGACGATGAAGTGGGAACGTGATACCTGGAGATATGGAAATATAGAGAGATGTTTTCATTACCATTACTGTATTGCTTGTAATTTGTTTTACTGTGTTTGCATTATGCCTATTCTGAAGGTCAATCACAGCGGCTCTTTGGCAATACTGCACGACTACTGCTCCTAACGTCGTATTATCACTTCTGCAGAGATACTTCTTCTGCATAAGACAGACACAGATGCTTCCCAGAAGAGTCTAAAATAATTTAAAGTGTAGGAAGAAAAAGTGATAAAAACCCTGTTAATATTTGAAATAACAATTCCAGCCAGAAACCAGAAATATGAATAACTGTAATTAAATTTAATCTTGGAAGCAATCTTATATGGATACTGCTCAAGGATCACTTAACCTTTTTGCTATGTCATCAGCGCATTTCTAATTATAGATCGTCTGCTTTCAGATTTGCAGATTGCTTATCTTCTTGCAGGCTCAATTTCAAACGTCAAGGTCTTCTCGAGGTCTTCTCAACACTTTCAGGGCACTTTTCTGGGTTTTTTTTTTGATACAATCACATCTTTTCTTAGTACTGTCTTTTTTCAGCGTGCATGTTTTGACTTCGGTATAAATGATGGCATGCACAGTATTTTATATATTCAGAAAGTTATATGCTTGCCTTTTTTTCTAAACTTTTTATTGTACAAAACCAGGCAACAATGAATATACTACATAGTAAAGTTATAGTACAGGAAATTAAAATTGTTCATGTGCTATACAAATACTACAGAGGAGTCCTAGGAAAAACATTGAAAGAAAGGAAAATGAGATGATTAACACCGTGTGCTAATAAGTGATTTGGTCCCTACGTGGACAGAAAGTGCTAAAAATACTCTCATGTACATGAAACAGAAGGAAGAAAAATCTCATTTTAAGTCCAGTGATTAACAGTGTCACATCTACGATGGTGATGTAAAACCTATTTACCTCTGATGATCACAGACTGTTTGAAAGCCACGAATACAGAAGACAGGCCTATTTCTGTGTAAGCCAAGGCCAAAATTTCCACTAATTTTTATGGGACTGGCATTCCATAGATGAATACTGACTCTTGTAACTTGAAAATCAGAAGAAAACATTTGTTCACCCCAAAGTAGGAATTACTGTCATACGATTTGTTTGACAGCAATGCTATAAAAACACTTAGCATTTTTTGTTAATACTCAGGGCAAAGCCCATCTTTTAAGATCTAGGAGAAAAACAACATTCCAAGTAAATGAAAAGACAAAAGGAGCATTCCATGAAATTAGGTGAGGGTCTCTATGAGTGGCATGACTAATTGCAGATTTCTCTAGCAGCTAGTGAAGAAATTCAGAGATAATTGTAGCAGTGGGTAAAAGAACTAGAAATTATTTTCAGCCGAAGCAAAATTAGAAATCATACACATTAAGTGTGATCATTTATTGCAGCAAAAAATAATAAATAGCAATAAAGCCTCAGAAAGAGAAAATACTTGGTTTTGCTGA